CAAAGGCAGGGTAACTGACAGGAGAAAATGAAAGACTATTCAGGCATGCCATTTGATTTATTGGAAGTGTTGCAGTGTTGCTTGTTTAAGACAAGATTAGTTATAGGCCTGTCAGGATTAAAATCTTGCAACGCGATGCTCTCAGAGCTAATTCTGACCCACTGTGCAGCATAAAGTACAAATCTCACAAACCTGTCAAGGATGTCTGTCTTCGTTTCTTCCCTGCTTGACTCTTCTTGCTCAACGTTTTCTTGGCAACTTTGGGGTTCTCGGTCAGTGTCACTGTGGCAAAATGGTGGACCTTGACCTCTTTGACTTTGCCCTGGTTCAAGGGCTTCAAAGGCTTGCGAGCCTCACCCACCACACAACTGTGGTAAAAGACTGGAACATCGTGGTTCTGTAGTTCTTCCCACTGCAGGAGCCCCTTAGCTGGCATGTCTCGTAGGAAGTCAAAGTTCCACTTCTGCTGGGCTCCCTCCATGCTGCTGTGCAGCATGTGCTGGAAGTCCTGCTGCAGCTGCTCATGGTCCACGGGGCCGAAGAGGTTCCTTCGTACACGGGTTGACTTTGCTGGCCTCCATTCTGTCTGCTCTCCAATCCACCGCTCTCCGACAAGCGTACCAAGCAACGATTCCCTGCCAGAGATAGAAAGACCATCAGACACCTTTTACATGGACAGTTCAACAGGCATCTATGGGGGATGTAGCAAATGTTGGGGTATTTCTGATCCTCTGAAAGGAAATGCTGGGAAACAGTTTGGGAAAAGGTCCGCCAATCTCTAATCTTAATGGAAAACTCTTGTTGACTTCAGGGGATTGTGCTGACTGGAGCCCCAGCTGTTGTTGTATTTGCTGTGGAGGCACAGGAGGGCTCCTTCCTTTATTTTTTCTGGGGCGCTTCACGTACTGCTAGTGAGGGAGTTGGTTTGGTCAGCTGGGAGGCTGAGGCTTTGTCTCCACTGCTAATAAAGCTGCATTCTTTACTTCAGTAATGAATGTGAGCTATCCTGAGGTAAAGACAGTGAAAACCACGCACTTTAGTTTTAAACTCACCAAGGTCAGCCCTACATCCCTCCCTGGGGTTGACCTCAGCAGTTTACTTCATGGTAAAACTAAAGTGTCTTGTCTTCACTGTTTCTTGCCCAGTATAATTCATGTGATACTTCCCTGAGGTAAAAAACACAGCTGTACTAGCAGTGAACACAGTGTCCCGGGGGGAACAATGGAAAGCCGACTGAAAGTTTTTCTGGGGTAAGAGCTTTTTGTTCTGTGTTTGTTCAGCATCTAGCACATCTGGGTCATGGTCCATGACCGGGAGCGCCTATGTAACAGTAATAAACAACAACAATAACAAGAGTGGACAACAATGCAGAAATAGAACAGAAGACACATTGGAGAGGATGGGGATAAAGCATCCCAGAATAAGTACCTGTAGAGGGAATAAAAATAAATAGATCTTAGGATGGGTAGAAGTGACAAAACCAGTTAATTAATGTTAATGAGGCTACTACTCCGATTCACTCTCTGAATTAGTCACACTGTTAGATGAATGAAACTCAAAAATATTACCCTCCTCCTTCAATTTTTTGTTCTCCCTTCTGGAATAAAGTGGGGAGAGGGGAAGGCTGTTTTCCATCAATACATAAAAATAAAAGCAAAGCACCATCTTTGTATCTCTCAAGGTAAATCTCAAGGTAGGTGCAGAGGGTTTGCCACACAGTAGTCCCTACTGTGAGGGAGAGGAAGAACGTGACTTGTGGAAGCAGCTCAGAAGCATGCATCCCCTCCGTGGAAATGAACTTGATTCTTCGAGGGATGCCTAGGCAGTGGTGTTCTAGGGGGTTTGGGACAGAGCAAAACAGAGGAGAGGGGAGAAGTTAGTGAATGCACAGATTTTAAGGCCAGAAGGAGCATTATGGTAATCTGTCCTGATCTCTTGCATAATGCAGACTATAGAACTTCACCCAGTAATTGCTGCATCATATCTGTGACTTCTGCTTGAGCCTAGATTAAGGATGTTAAATATTGATTAATTTATTAGTCGAGGAGTTGATGCAATTTCCATTGACTACTCGACTAGTTGATAGGCACGTCCGCATTCCTCCTTTGAAATGTACAAAACCCCCCAGCTCTTGTGCATTTCAAAGTGGAAGCGTCCCTGTGGAGCCCAGAGTCAATGGGATTTCCCGCTGGCCCTGGGCTGCACACTGCGTGCCAGCTTTGAATGTACAAGAGTCCCCAGAGGGGGCTCTTGTGCATTTCAAAGCAGAAGCGCCCTCATGGAGCCTGGGGTCAGTGGGGGAAGCAGAAGCCCCCACTGACCCCGGGCTCTATGCAGCACTGCCGTTTTGAAATGCCATGCAGAGCTGGCGTTTCCACGGAACCTGGGGTCAGCTAGGTTCCATGGAATTGCCGCATGGAGCCCAGGGTCAGCTGGAGAGTCCCCAGCTGATCCCAGGTTCCTCACAGCGTTTCAAAGCGGCAGCGCCGCATGGAGCCTGGGATCAGCTGTGAGGCGCTGCCCCTTTGAAACACCATGATGGTGTTTCAAAGGGGCAGTGTCGCACAGAGCCCGTACCCTGGGCTCCGTGCATGCTGTCGCTTTGAAGTACCCCCTCTTTCTCCCCTTTGCTGCCTCTATCTGACCGCTTTGAAGTACCCCCCCCTCCCTTTTGCTGTCTCTATCTGATAGAAGCAGCAAGTGGGGGGCGAAGGGGGAACGATTAGTCAACGCAACTATCCAATAAGGATTTGTGGAGGGCGAAGGGGGAACGACTAGTCAACGCAACTATCCAATAAGGATTTGCTTATCAGATAGTCAACTTGTCGTTAACATCCTTAGCCTAGAGCATACCTTTTAGAAAGAAATCCAATTTTTCTGTACATGATCCAGTCACTTCTGTTCTCTGCTGGGAAGCAGAGCCAGCACGGACTCTAATGAGGTCTTAGGGTTGCATTAGAGTCCAACCAAGCCGTAGATTTATCTGCTGCCACTCAGACATCTGGAGGATATACAGAGTTAGGACCCTGAGAGAGACTATGTGATTGATCCAAAGCCATGGACACAACCAGTGCAGAGCCAGAGGACAAAATCATTCCCAGCCTCCCACCTTCTCAGTCTACTGCTAACCTAGGAATATGAAAGTATCAATTGTATAAACAAGATACTATTGTTTCTAAAAACAGTATTTTTAATTGAGTTTTCCTGTGCTGAGCCATCACTGTGCTCTCAGTGCCTCTATAGGGGAAGCAAATGCAAATGCAGTAACACAAATAAACATCTGAGTGGCTGATCTCAAAATCAAAATATGTTTCACCTTACCAGTAGTTGTCAGGATACTCAGCGGTGCTGATTATCACTATAGATACTAACAGTCACCCCACAGCTCTATTCCTTTTCCATCTGGAGCCAAACCTCCAGCTGTTTAAACTAAGTTTCTTAAAGGGATACCATCAGCATCAGAAAAGGACTACAGCAAATAATCGTTTGCATTAGAACTCTTCTCATATGAAATGTGCGCTGTTTGCTTTATTAGGCAAGGGCAAAATATGTTATTTCTCAAACAATTCTGAACTGTGGAAAAAGCAATTTTGAATATCCAAAATGACATTCACTAGAGAAGAATCTGTCTTGACCCTTTCTATCCAGTCCAGTAGCCAAGCCCTGAGGTGTAGCTTCTAGCTTGGGTGGAGCTACCATGCTAAAATAGCAGGGTACTCAGTGTGGTATGGGCAACAAGAGTGGCTAGCTGCCTGAATTCATACTTAGGATCTCAGACGAGATTGTAATTGGAGCAGCTCCAGTGTAGACAAACCCTGAGGATGCTATAGTATGAGCCTGGCAAGCCTGCATCTGCAGACCCAGGCTCTGAGATTTGCTGCTGTGGACTGTGCAGAGTCAGGCTTATCCAGAACAGCCCATACCAGCTGCTTCAGAGGAAGATGCAAGTACTTTCAAATGCGTAATTCTAGAATAACCTTCCCTTAGGGAACCTTTCTTCCTACTGCCTTCTTTCATACTTTGAATCATGAAGGATCACATATCTTTGCCAAACTTGTGGCATATTTGATAACAGTAGATGTTTTCATTGTTCATATAAATATCTAGGGTAAAATCCTAGACCTACTGAAGTGAATAGGAACATTATCACTGACTTGAATGGAACTAGGATTTCACCCCTAATATTTCTCTAGAATCCTACTATGCCCTGGACTTCAGAGGAACAGTTTTGCAAGGAGTTCCACATGCTAATTCTGTGTTTAAAACTGTGTTACAAATCTGCAAAACAAAATCATCTGAAATACTTTCTCCATGCAAAATATTGTAACTTTGAAATTCTTTGTGTTCAATACGGTTCAGTCACTCCTGACCACTGATTTTTGTGAACTGCAGTGACAACAGATGGACCTGTCTTCTCATCACTGGAGAATTTTAAATCAGGAGTGAATGTTTCTCTAAAAGATATGATAAAATTTAGACATGAATTAATGCAGGGAAGTCCAATGGCCTGTTGTTATACTGAATGTCAGACTAGAATGGATGATCGCAGTGGTCCCTTCTGGCCTTAAAAAAATCTATGAATCAATCCTCATTCAGGAACATAGTCTTTATTCACACAAGTAGCTCCATTTAAGTCAACCTGAATATGTAAGTATATTAGTAGTGGCCATTTCTAATTTCCCTCTGGTTATTTGCCAACTAGAGAAAGTAAAAAACTAATCCATAAATATTTATTTTTGTTTCAAAATTTTGATGGAGCATTTTGTCAAAATATTGAATTTCAATAGTTCAACTAGTTAACTAGCTCCTCTTAATGGTCAACACACTGAAATTAAGATTTTTTGGGGAAAATGAATGGAATTTTAAATCTTCATGGAGGATTATTCCCCG